AACTGAGAATAGAACTATGAAATCATCTAAATCTAACTTGGGGCACAGCCACAAACTGGAAACCACTGCAGGGGGCTAGCATGAATAAAATTTATACTACTTATTAAAATATATAAGATCAGAATTATGTGCATGCAGTATAATTCCACAGTTGAAGGTCATTCTTTCTAGTTATTTCTTACCATTGTGCATTAACTCCACAATTTCTTCACGTGTAAGGTCATTTTTATTCCTGACTTCATATTTCAAGTTTATGAATATTTCTCTGAGGTTTGCTGCATCTACATCTGTACCAGACCGAGAGGCCATTCCTTGCAACAGAAAGAATTACTTTTAATTGCATTTTAAAAGAAGAATATCTGCTTTGAAATAATGAACTGTGTAGCAATTCATGAAATCAGTGAATTCTTCCTTTTAAATGGTTAAGAAAATTTGAATTATTTTAAACATGTAACACAAAACCTATTCAATTTTTTGCATATAAGACACTTTATAATATAAGCTGTCTCAGTGTTACAGATACAAAGATACCTTTCACAGATGTTTAGACAGTGAAAAACAGAAATGACTTCAAAAGCCTAACAATAAGGGCTTGGTCAAATAAATTAGGATTCATTTGTATAATGGAGTATGTTGCTTTTTTTAATATAAAATTTTGGCATGGAAAAATGGTCATTTTATTTTTTTAAAGACTAAAAACCACTATGATCCTGCTTTTGTTTAAGAAAAAATATATATACTCACAGGGACTGAATTTCTTTAATTCTAAGTTTACAATAATTTTAAGATACATTACTGCTCTCATATTTCATTAATACTATTCATCAGGTATTCTGCTATGAGTAATCTCTTTTAATCCTTCCAACTACCATGAGTTGTTACTATTAGCTTCATCTGTAATGGATGTGGGATATGGCACAGATGAGTTAAAAAACTTGTCCAGGGGCTGGAGTTGTGGCTCAGTGTTAAAGCACTTGCCTAGCATGTGTGAGGCACTGGGTTTGATCCTAGGCACTGGGTTTGATCCTTGGCACTGTATAAAAATAAACAAATAAAATAAAAGTATGCTATCCATCTACAACTACAAAAATAAAATAAAATAATAATAATAATARAAAAGAGGTAAAAGAAAAGAAACTTGTCCAGGGCTGGAGGTATAGCTCAGTGGTAGAATATGTGCTTAGCCTGGGGGAGCCCATGGGTTTAATACCCAGCACAACAAAACAGAACAAAACAAACAAAAAAGATAGGAAAGAAAAGAAACATGTGCAAAGTTTACGGGCCACTTTACAGAATGGAAAACACTGCTAGTCATTCAAATTTCAAACCAGAAAAAGCCAGACTACTGTTATAAAAATTTTTTTTGGGGGGGGGCAATGGAATGAAATGCTTTTTAAAAGAGAAAAGGAAGGAAAGAAACAAAAAAGAAAGAATAAGTTCAATAGCATAAAACTCTATAGGCCAATACAAATGGATATTTGTAGAAAATGAGGCAGAATACTATTATGGTTTAGATATGTGGCGCCCCCCAAAAGTTCATGTATGAGCAGTGCAAGAAGGTTTAGAGGTGAAATGATTGGGTTGTGAAAGCCTTAACCTAATCAGTGAATTAATCCCCTGATAGGGATTAACTGAGTGGTAACTAAAGGCAGGACAGGTGTGGGTGGAGGAGGTGAGTTATTGGAGGAATGCTTTGGGGGCATAAAATTTGTCCTAGAGCTCCCTTTTCTTCCTGGATGTCTTGAGCCGGCTCCCTCAACCACACATTTCTGCCACGATGTTCTGTCTTGTCTCTGCTCTGAGGAACGGAGTTGGCCATCTATGGACTGAGACCTTGGAAACTGCAAGCCTCAAAGTAAACTTTTCCTTCTTAAAATTATTCTTGTCAGGGCTGGGGTTGTGGCTCAGTGGTAGAGCACTCGCCTAGCATGTGCAAGCCTGGGCTCGATCCTCAGCACCATATAAAAATAAATAAATAAGGGTATTGTGTCCAATTACAACTAAAAAAAATTAGTATTAAAAAATTATTCTTGTCAGGTCTTTTGGTCAAAGCAACAAAAAAGCTGGCTAAAATATCTACAAGTAAAATTTTAATATGTAAAGCAAATGACAAAGTGCTTTGTCATTTATTTAACAGCTAAGTTGGTCTCTCAATTTGTAGCCAAAAGTAATAAAAACAGTACCATTCAGATTAAGAGACCAATTTCTCAACTCTATTCTCCTCAGTCCTTTTAACTAACCTAACACCAACTCCTGCTTATCTTTCCAGTATAATCTGACTTCCTTCCATTCTCACTACCATTCTGGTTGGGAGTCTCCTAAATTAGATCTGTGCACCTAGTTTCTCTAATTAAAAAATAATTCCAATATGATTAACATGCTGATTTAAATAATTATTACAGCATTATATTAAAGATGAAAAAATAGGAAAGAGACAAAATACTAATTTATATGGTAAAATATGCAAGTTAAATATTGGCATATTTAGGTGATGCAGTAATATATAATCATTGAAATAACAGGGAAATTATGCAGGCCATGAAAAAAATGCTTATAGAATATTGAGTAGGACAAGGAGGATACAATATTTGCTTGCATAAGTTTTCAAAAACACTGTCATAAAAAAAAAAAAGATCAAGGAATGTACCAAAATGTTAATTAAGTTTTGGGGATTGTGAAGTATCTCGTTTTCTATGTTGTCTAAAAAGATATTCTAAAATGTGTTATTAGATTCAAATCATACATGATGCACTGAAAATGGGACTTGGTGCTCAGTCCTTGGTGAATTTAAACACAGCAGTTTCAGTGGTGAAGGTAGAAAATGGAAAGGAAAAATAGGTTTAAGAGAAAGTGGCACGAAGGGAAGATGTCAAGCTTAAACTACATGTTTTCAAAGTTTAGGGAAGAAGGGAAGAAGGTGAGCATCAGATCAAACCTTAAGAGGAAGCACACTAAAACAAAGGTGTCTTTAATATTCGATCTCTGTCATCTTTGTAGGGTAAAGAGGAAAAAGGCAAGAGTCAATGAAGACACAAGAAGTAAAGCAGGACCAACCAAGTGGGGGAATAAGAGCTGGGACTCTGGAGTCAGACACACCAGGGTCCAGACTCTAGCTCTGCTACTGTATACCTACGTGACTGTGCAAGGTTTTTAACCTTCTGTAATCTAACAGTAGTTAGTTACTTTTCAGGATTGTTGTAAAAATAAAAGAGACAATATCTGTCATATGCTTTGCAGGTTTTAGAAAGAAAAAAAATACTACTACTTACTTAGGAATTATTGAGAACCTTTTATTGTCATAAAAGAGAGAGCAGAAGAATAAAGAAGCAAGGGTTACAGGTTAGTAGGGGTAGAAGCCAAGCACATAAATAGGAGGCCGGCTGTGGGAAGAGGAAGAGCTTCTGAACATGGTAGAAAAGTCCACATTGTCTTAAAGGACCTGCAAGGTTCTGCCTTTTCTCTACTTTCTGGCTATTCTGTATCACAGTTTACCAATCATTTACACATGGATTCTTTTTTTTTTTTTAATATCAAATACAAATGGCACAAATGCTTGAAAAGTTTAAAATATCAGATAAGATACATACCAGTGCTTTTATGAAAGTTCTTATTATTAATGATTAAACATAAACCCATTTCAGGATAATCCATTTTGTAACGATTGTCCAAGGATATTCCAGAGTCCATTGATTTGCTTCCATGTATGGTCTTTCTATTTGGAAATCAACAACAGTTCATCAAGGTAGAAATGACTGGACTGATCCATTAATATAACTTTTATGACTCATAAGAACAGTTTACATTTATTTAATGCTAGACACAAATTTTTGTGCTAAAGGTTTTTCCTCATATAAATTTTACAACCCATTTTACAGATGAGGAAATGATTGGCCTGAGGCTAAGCAATGTACTGAAGGTTATGCAGATATTGTGTCAGAGCCAAGGCTGGAGGAAAACTTTGCTGGACTTGGGGTTTAGGCTTTTAACTTCTGTTTCATGTTTTCCTCTAAATTTTAATAAAATTTCATCAAATGCATTTTATAATTTAAAACATTTTTTTGCAATTCTGAAATAGTTTATCCTTTAAGGAAAGAATGACATCTTTTTTTTTTGTAGTTGTAGATGGACAGAATACATTTATTTTATTTGTTTATTTTTATGTGGTGCTGATGATCGAACCCAGTGCCTCATGTATGCAAGCCAAACACTCTAACACTGAGCCATAGCCCCAGCCCCAAGAATGACATCTTAGAGATCACCCTGAAATGATAGGAAATCACTAAACTTCCTCAAACTCTATGACCTCAACAAATGAATAATTTATTAATACACAGAAGCACTGTTATAAATAATTGAAAATACTTGTCTGGAAGTCACTTATTTAAAAACCTTGGCTATGGAAGCCGGGCATGGTGGCACACACCTGTAATCCCATGATTCAAGTCTAAGGCAGGAGGATCCCAAGCCTCAGCAACTTAGCAATACCCCAACTAAAAATAAAATAAAAAGGACTGGGGGCTGGGGTTGTGGCTTAGCAGCAGAGTGCTTAGCACATGCAAGCCCTGGGTTCAATCCTCAGCACTATATACAAATAAATAAACAAAATAAAGGTATTGTGTACGACTAAAAATAAATAAATAAATATTAAAAAATAAATAAAAAAGGACTGGGGAAGTGGTTCAGTGTTAATCCCTAGTATCAAACAAACAAACAAACAAACAAACAAATAAATAAATAAATAAATTCAAACCTTGGCTATCCAGATCAGGGGTCAGTAAACTGATTTTTTTTTTTTTTTTTAAGGTACTGGGGATTTAACTCAAAGGCACTCAATTACGGAGTCACATCCTCAGCCCTGTTTTACATTTTACTTAGAGACAGGGTCTCACTGAGTTGCTTAGCTCCTTGCTTTTGCTGAAGCTGGCTTTGAACTCAGGATCCTCCTGTCTCAGGCTCCTGAGCTGCTGGGATTACAGGTGTGCGCCACTGTACCCAGCTTAGTAAACTGGTTTTTAAGAGACAAATAGTAAGTATTTTGGGCTCTTAGATCATCTAGTTTCTGTTGTAGCTATTCAATTTTGCTAGTGAAATTAGCCCAGAACTTTATATGAATGAATGGGTATGGATATGTTCCAAAAACCGACCATGATTCTGATCGTGATCTACTAAGAATCTGGAAATAACAAGTCCAGGAACAACCAAACACCAAAACCTTAAGTCCATATACTCAAGTACTTTATAGTATTTCAGATCTTTAACAGTTTCAAAAATTTTGTTGGAACAAAAATTACAAGTAGTAAATTAAAGGAGTCAAGGTAAGAAAACAATTTTAACATTTAGCTAGAGGTTAAGAGCCCATATTTTACAGCGAAAATGAAAACCCTAAAAGCTTCAGGTTATATAGTATGGGTAAGCCTCACTAATCCAAAAATTCAAAATCAGAAATGGTCAAAAATATGAAACTTTTTGAACAGCAACGTGATGTCATAACTGGAAAATTCCACACCTGGCCTCATATGACAGGTTGTGGTCAAAAYGCAGGTGTACTGAAGGTGTCATATAAAATTACCTCAGGTTTTCTGTGTAAGGTTTTTATAAAACATAATTTTGTGTCTAGACTTGGGTCCTATCCTCAGGACATCTCATTATATACATGAAAATACAGCCAAATTTGAAAGAATATGAAATTCAAAACACTTTGGTTCTCACCATTTCAGATAAGGGATACCAACCTATAATAGACCACAGAACTTTTAACTCCTCTCTCCTGATGCCCATTCCCCAATGCCTCCTGCTGCCTCCTTAGGAGGTAGATCCTCTACCAGCAATATGATCACTAGACCAAGAGGAGCCACGTCTTAACAAAGACCAGAGACTCAAAATATGGGAATATGAGGGTGCCTTATATCTGTGAGACTATATGCAGTTTCCTGTTTATATGATATTCTGTATGACAAGAATATAGGGAAATGTATAAATCACTTTAGAAGTATTTAAACACAACAAACTACAACAACAAACTCTGGAAAATGGGWTTGCATTTCAAAAGTTTGATTTTTAGGAAAATTACTTTGTTCAACAAACATGCTAAATCTTTACTACTACTAACTTGTCAATAGCATTGCTACAATAAGTTGTTTCACAGTAAGTGGTCTACAACAATACTGGGCCTCAGAAATAAACTTAATAGAATCAAAAATTTCCTTTCATTGATAGATAACAATTATACATCTTTATGGGGTGTACTGTGATGTTTTGGTACATTTAGACATTGGGTTGATCAACTCAGAATACTTAAAAGTATCACAAAAGATTTCACATGGAAAATAAGAGACATCAATTAAATGAAGAGTTTTATATTTTTCATTTCTCTAGCTACTAGTTATTGGAAGTATTAATAAGCAAACCGAAAGGAAGGTCAAAACAAAACAAAGTTACAGTAAAAGATAATCTAGAAATAGGCAATTCTTTCCCAGACTGAATATTGACATTGCAATTTAAAATCTAGAAACCAGAGGTCAAAAACACCCTAAACACAAAACCTCTAATCCTTACAGTGATTTAGGAAGAGCCAGCACACTCTGAGGAGTGAGTTCTGCCTCTGCTGTCTGGTACTTCTAGTCATGGGTCAGAAGCTGTACAGGCCTTTCCCTTTATCCTCCCTATGTTTTTTTTTTTTTTTTTTTTTTTTTTTTTTTAGTTTTATCCTCCATTTAGCCCATATTCTGCTTCCCCATTTCTCAAAATCTGCTGTATTCCACATACCCATTTTTCTCTGATTGTGTAAGATTCCACTTAAATACTCACTGTTCAAAATTTTTAATGGATTTTGAATCCACTGAGTTTTCACTGTTCTCCATGGTTACTTTTCTTAACTAGAATATAAGCAAAATAGAATAAAGTCACTATAAAGTGAGTCACTATAAAACCAATGTACTATATTAGTCTTCCCAGTGATTATTTCTCCAGATACCCTTGTTTTTCCTCTGTTATTAAAAGTCTCTGTGAGTCAGACCTGGGGAGAATGAGCCTTTGTAAAGTATGCACAATATAAGYTCTCTCTCTTTTTTGTTCTTAACTGAGCTATGAATTACATATAATAAATCATATCAGTACACAGAGAACTGTGCAGCTGGATAAATTTTTCCATTTGTGTATCTCTGCCAGATCAAGATAGGGAACACAACTTGTTTCCTTTGTCACACAACAAAGCAGGTCATCTGTAGGAATTTGGCTTCYAACTAAACACAGTTAAAATAAAAACCAAAAATTTACCATAATGGTATACCTCAGATAATACTATTCTACAATGCTTAGATTCCCAACAGACACAGCACCAAGAAGTTCTAAACCTCCATATGATCTTTATTCTGAAACTGAGTTTTAAGATCCCAATTTCTCATTTAGGATGTCGAAGGGTCTAGGAAACCTAGAAGTAAAGACCATAGAGTTTCTGCTTTCATTCTTCCATCAATTGCATCTCACACAGTGAACAAGTCCTTACAATCGAAGCCACCACCACTTACTACTATGTGAAACATCTCGTCTTTACTCTTCATGGAAATTCTACAAAGTCAAGAAACCAAACTTTTAGTGATGAAGTGAGTTTGACAACAGATGCCCACTGAGTGACAGATGCCCTTCTATTCCCACTCTGCTGTGCTGCCTGAGGAAGCCATCTCCTTATTACTTGTCTCTTGAAGTTCTATTAGTAGTCTCTAGCTTTCCAGGAACAAAGGGACTTGCCCTGGTAGTGTACTTCCCCAAATAAAAAGAAAACAGGACAGAAATAAAACAAGAAACAAGAACAAAGAGGCTCAAAAGAATTTCTCAACTCTAGAAGCCCTGGAATGTCAAAAATTTTAAGCAAAATACAACTGTAACCTCTGTACTATGCTAAAATAAAAAATACTGGAGAAATACACAATCCTACCATCAGGACTCGTCACCCATAAAAGGCTTTCTAGAAAGTCCCCTGCTTTTTAAGTTTTAAAAATCTTAGTGCCACATACATAAAACTTACCATTTTAACCATTTTAACCATTTTAAAGTATACGGTTGAGTGGCATTAAGTACAGTCACACCATTGCACAGCCATCACCGACATCCTCTCTGGAACTTTATGTTCCCAAACTGATACTGCATGAAGGCCCCCAATCATGATCTCCTGGAAATAATTCCTTCCCTTTACAAAGCTAGATTCCTCCCTCCCCTCTCTCCAGTTTTGTGTGCATTTCTAGTGGGAAAGATGGACAAAGAACACAGAGAAAAGGAAGTCCATTTCAATGTAATCACAGAAGAGGGGAGTGTTTCACCTTCTCCCAAAGCCAGTCTATGGTTTGCATTTTTATGAAAGCTCTTTGCTTTTCTACCCTTTTACTTCCTGTAGGATTTTTAGAAAAATCAGTGGAGGATGCAAGCACAACTGGGATGAACCATCTTTTAGTTAGCTAGCAAGTATTTAGTGAGCACATACTTTGTGCCAGGAATTAGCCTAGACCCTTCAACAGAGTGGAAGATGAAACAAGTTCCTTCCTTTAAGAAGCTTTCATTCTAGACAGAAATAATTATAAACTAATAATAATAAGATTTCAGACACTGGAAGGAGCTCTGAAGAAAATAAAATAAGGTTAGCTAATAAACGGGGAGTATGAGCTACTTTAGCTAAGGTGGGGGGAAGTCACCGTTGAGGTGATATTTACAGAAATCTAAATGATATAGGTGTTGCCACTAGAGGATGTCACTGCTGGAGGATGGATCAGTAAGTACAAAGGATTTGGAAAAGTTGTGGCACGCATGGTACAGAAAGACGAATTTGACTAGTGCATGGTAAAGGAAGCGAAGGAGTAAAGAAGGATGACAAGGGAAAGGTAAATTACATAAGGTCATAGGAGACAGAAGGAACTTTGATTCTGTCCTAATTATAAGGAGAAATCATTGGAACATTTTAGGTGGAAGAGGAACAGCATTYTGAATAAAGGGAGAATCAGCTGCAGATGGTCAGAATGGTAGCATATGGTCCAGTGAGAAGACTTTCTGAATAGTCCCAGCAGAAGATGATAGTAGCCTGAACTAGAGTTGAACAGTAGATATAGATAAGAGTCTAGAAGTTGGGGGAAAGATCAGGGCAAGAGATATACTGGGGCACCCTGCTATTTAGAGATTTAGTAGAGAAACTGTTTGCATGTGGTATACAAAGCATGCAAAAATCTTTCAAAGAGAGCTTATTCATCCATTCCAAGTCTTGATAAGAGGTCAATTTAGATGAGAGCACTGGTTTTGTTGAATGTTATGCATATAGTAAGAAAATACTATCCGAGACCTGAAAGTGGGCAAAAGAAATTTTTAGGTCTAATTTCAATGGGGTGCGGGCATTGTCTAGAACTCTCCGGGATTATGGATTCTATAGGATACACTCTTTTAACTAGACTCTTGACAGTATCTTTACAACTCTCTAGGAAGTTAAGCCATAGAAAATAGCTAAGCTAATGATTCTTGTCTATAGCAGTCAAATTGAATTTTTCTTGTAATGATGTAATTGATATCCACCTGACCAAAAAAAAAAAAAAAAAAAAAAAAACTGCTCCTTTCAATTTACATTTATTACCCTACAGGAAAGTAAGGGGTGGGGAGTGTATTCTAAGGAAATAATACCAGTGGGTGGTAGGAGTAAGGAAAGGGAAAACCATGCATTAGTCATTTCAAAAATTGGAGACTAAGAAAGAGACATGTTTCAGTTACAGCATATCCAAATAATGGTTTATAAAGCTAATCATTTTAAATTTTCCCCCCACTTTCTTTTATTTTGTACTAGGTACTGAATCCAGGGGCACTTAATCACTGAGCCACATCCCAGTCCTTTTTATTTCTTGAGACAAGGTCTMGCTAAGTTGCTGAGTCCGGCTTTGAACTTGCAATCTTCCTCTGCCTTGAGTCATTGGGATTATAGGAGTGTGCCACCATGTCCGGCTCCCACTTTTTCTTAAAGAACTTATCAGTGACATAGGGAATGCTCACAATTTAAGGTTAAGTGAATTTAGGTTATAAAAATCACTGTGAGGGCTGGCGTTGTAGCTCATGTGGTAGAATGCTTGCCCAACACATGTGAAACACTGGGTTTGAGCTTCAGCACCACATAAAAATAAATAAATAAAATGAAGGTATTGTGTCCATCTACAACTAAAATTTTTTTAAAAAAAAATTCACTGTGATCTCAAAACACACACAAGMACAAGAATAAAAGTATGCAAACCTTCATGTAGTAATATATTTATTAATAGTGGCTATATCTGGATAATGGGAATACTGACAACTTATTTACTCCTTAATATTTTCTAAATTTTTCTATAGCATTTGGATTGTTTTTAAGGTTAGAAAATACTAACAATTACTTTATGAAATAGTATCCACAGTGGCTAGAAAATTTTAACCCTTGACACTGATTCAAGCATGATAAAAATAAGGTTACTGAGGTGCCACCCTTTCTTGCCTGTGTCATTCTCAGTACTGTGTCCAGTCTATCTACCTTTCTCTTTTTCTTTTAATATGGACAATAAAAATGTATTAGGTACAAGGGGCTGGGATTGTGGCTCAGCAGTAGAGCGCCTGCCTAGCACATGTGAGGCCCTGGGTTCGATCCGCAGCACCATATAAAAATAAATAAATAAAATAAAGATATTGTGTCCAACTACAACTAAAAAAAAAAAAGTATTAAGTACAAGAAAAATCTCAAACTTCCATGCCAAGTAGGCATCATAGAGACCTACTTGTCTCCATGCTTGTCAATTCAAAGTGGGCAGACCATAGCCAAAGTAATTATCCACCTGTGGTTGAGAAATGAGATGTGGTTAATTTGTTTAATGGAGGTACAGGGGGGATAACAAGTCCAGAAACTGGTGAATTCATTATAAATGGTTTATTAATATATTACAATGCATGAGAAAATATTATTATCTTTGTTTCAAGACTTTATTATGAGTAATCAGTAGAAAATCTGGAGAGATGTCAAGAAAGTGTATTAAAAGATGTTTTACATCACATGTCATCAGATAAAAGCAAATTTAAGACCAGAAACCACAATACACCTATTTAAAAGGCCAGAATCCAAAATACTGTCAATGACAACTGCTGGTGAAGATATGGAGCAAGCAAAATGATACAGGCACTTTGGAAAACCATTTGGCAGATTCTTGCAAAATTAAGCATACTCTTACCATTTGATTCTTAGTATTTACCCAAAGGAGCTGAAAACTTAGGTCGACACAAAAACCTAGACAGGTGCTTACAGCAGTTTTATAAATAATGATTCTTTAAGACAGTGGCGTATTATTCAGTGTTAAAAAGAAGCTAGCTGTCAAGCTATGAAATGACAGGGAGGGAACTTTAAATACATTACTCCTACATGACAGAAGTTAATCTAAATTATTCCCATTATATGACATTCTGGGAAAGGCAAAACTATGGTTGCCAGGGATTAGGAGAGAAGGAAAAGCACAGAGGGCCTTCTTAAGGCAGTAAAACCATTGGTTGGTACATAATTGCAAATTTGCCCAAACTCAAAATATACTCCTCCAACAATGATAGCTAGTGTGAACTCTGGACTTTGGGTGATAATGATGTGTCAATGTAGGTCCATCAACTGTAACAAATGTACTGCCCTGATGGGGGATGTCAATAATGGAGGAGGCTAATCAAGTGTGGGGTTGGGAGGATATGGGATAGCTCTGTACAKTCTTTTTAATTTTGCATTAAATCTACAAATGTTCTGAAAAATAAAGTCCAATTAAAAAACAAAACAAAACTGGGGCTGAGGAGGTGGCTCAAGCGGTAGCGTGCTCGCCTGGCATGCGTGCTGCCCGGGTTGGATCCTCAGCAC